AAGGGACCATACCAATAAACCACCCTAAGGGGACCTAAAGGAGCGAACACTTTCTGTCGGCCAGCCACTGCCATCTTTCCTTTGGTCTCCTAAGGCTCCGCTACCCAGAGTGGAAAGATAGCAGAGAAAACTGGGAAGCAGGAAACGTGTCCTGCGAAGGGCAGCGATTTCTTTGCCTTGGGGAACTCTCATTGTGGAAAGTCCCTTCCCTGATACAAAGCAGCCACTCCTCAGTAACTTAATTCACCTGGAGTACTGAGAGCTTAAGTGACTTGCCCAGAGTCACAAAACCAAAATCATAATCAGAATTACTAGCATTTAGACGGCACTTTCAGGTTTGCAGAGGACTTTACATATGTTAACTCAGCGATCTAGTCAGTATGTGTCAGGTTCAGGACTTGTACCCAGCTCTTCCCGATTCCGAGGTTAGCCCTCTGTCAATTATTCGACAGTGCCCCTCCCCCTCAGTCAATGAAATGACAATTAACTTCTGTATTGGGGGGAGGGAGGATATTCTAAGGATCTCCAGCTTTGGGGGTCCCAGTCAATGGGAAGACCAGGAGGACATGGAGGCGGCTTAGGCCAAACTGCTTTTCTATTTGAGGAACTAGATCATTCACGGAGAAATAAGAAAGCATCAGTCTCTCAACGTGTCAGTTCAACTTCTAAAAAACCCACTTTGTTGCATGGGAGTAAAAAATGAAAACATGAGTCAGGAGCTAGAGGAGAAGGGTGGGAGGATACAGGACATATGATGGGGATGGGGAGAACCAGACAACCACCAGGACACACACTATTCCTCCAAGAGGGGGCGGAAGGTCCCCTTAAATTCTGGGTGGTAGTAGCGCCCTTTGGAGTAGCGATTCCGCCAGCGCCTGGGGCCGAGCCGTGCCGCCATATTGACATTTGGAGAGGTGTGGAATGCCATCCAGGACAGTCAGAAGCCAACAGGACGGAGGTTTGAGATGAGAACAGGGTGAAGGAAGACACGACAGGAAATGGAGTGGTAGAGAAAGAGTAGATGTGACAGGCCAGGTTGGAGAAGAAATGCACCCCAGGACAGGCACCATTGGAAAAGAAGAGAAAAATGCAAATTAGAGGCTGAGCCTGAGAAAGCAGGAGTCATGAACAGAAAGCGGCTGGTGTTCAACCAGAAGCAGATATATTGGCATTGGGGGCCCCTTTTTTGGTCTCTTCATTTTAAAAAAATGACATAATCATTTAAAATTATTTTTACATATTTCACTAAATATTTGCCAATTACATTTAAAAGAATTTTTACCAATCATTTTTTAAAATTTTGAGTGTTGGGTCTCTTCTTGATGGAACTGCATTGCTACATCCCAGAATCCCAGAATATCGGAGGTGGAAGGGACCTCAGGGGTCACAGGATCTTAGATCTACATCTTAGATCTTAGAAGGGGGACATCTGGTGCAATCCCCTCATTTCACAGAGAAGGAAAATGAGGCCCAAGAGGCCAACTCAAAAGCTCAAGATCTCAGAGTTATCTTTGGTCTGCAAATCACTTACAACCCATCGGTGTCTCAGACAAGAGGAGTGGCCATTCTGCATTAGTGGACGGAGGTTCCACACTGGGAATTTCCTACACCAACAGGACAGATATCCTCTGCTCTACCTAAACTGTTTTGGGGGGAACATCTCACTACTTTCAAGTAGAAGAGCTAAAAGTGCTCATTATCGTATGATAATGAGATGATTTCTACAGTCCCTTCTGCCTCTAAATCAATGATCTGTTGAAAGATGAAACATTTTTTCATTGGTTCATTCATTCAAACCAAGCCTCAAGGAGGAGATCAGGTAGCTTGTCTCCACAGAATGGAAGCTCCCTGAGGGAACAAAGGGTTTGCTTTTCATCTCTGTATCCCCGGCATCACATTGATGCCTTGTATTGTGTAAGATGCCTAGTCTTTGTTGAATTGCAGAAAAAAAAAAGGTACTTAATTAAAAAAGTACTGAATTTGGAGTCAGGAGGACCTGAGTTCAGATCTGGCCTCAGATACTTGATACTTACTAGCTGTGTGACCCTGGGCAAGTCACTTAACCCTGACTGCCTCACCAAAAAGCAAAAAAAATAAAATAAAATATGTAAATAATTAATAATAAATATGATAATTAATATAATATAGATGTAGTGCCTGGTACACAGGAATAAGGACTGGACCTATGATTTTACTATAGGAAACTCCCAGGTAAGCAAAAACTTCCTCTATCAATGCAGGCTGGCACTTTTTCTATAGCTTCAAAAGCTATATATACCAGGGCAGCTAGGTGGCACAGTGGATAGAGCACCGGCCCTGAAGTCAGGAGGACCTGAGTTCAAATCTGGCCACAGACCAAACATTCGATGTGTACTAGCTGTGTGACCCTGGGCAAGTCACTTAACCCCAATCGTCGAAAAAAATAAATTTTTTTTAAAAAGAGCTATATATACCGGTGATGGTAAACCCAAACAAAATGATGCCAGACTTAGAAAAACACAAACTAATTTTATCTATGCTTTGTTTTAGTTTTTAATATTTTGTTCAACACTTCCCAATTACATTTCTGGGCTGACTTGAGTTTACTGTCTCCAGCCTAGAGGTTAAGTGACTTGCTCAGGGTCACACAGCCAGGAGATGCCAGGGGCAAGGCTGGAGCCTAGGTCCAGGTTGGCTATACATTCTTACCATGTTACCTCTCTCATCTGTAATATGAGGGGGTTGGACTAGATGACCCCCTCCCTGCCCAAGTTCCCTTCCAGCTCTAAAGCTAAAGACTTAAAGTTAAGACTTCATGAAGCCAGACTGATCTTCCCTCCAACTTGGCTCAAAGTTGGAGGTTTGACTTCCTCCCTTTCCAAAGCTGAATGTGGACAAAACCCATGGAGGCACCTTAGAAATGCAGCTCAAAGTTTGGCTATGACCATACTCCTTTGCACCAATAGTTCACTGGGGGCCGCCAGTTTATCCATGAGTGAATGCTCCCTTCCCAGGAATGCCAATATATTTTTGACAAATGGAAATGTCCCAAAACACAAGTCTACATTTGAAACAATCATACCAGACAGCTTTTGAGATGGATGCATTTGGAAACAGTATATTCTAAGCACATGGCCTGAAATGGGACGTCATGAAATGGAGGAGGAAGTAAGTGCTTATGCATTTGGTCAAAACATATGGATTTAAGTATTTTAGGGAATTTAGGTATTTTCTCTGAATGTGTGTGTGTGTGTGTGTGGACTATGGTTATACAGAGGTAGGGCAATGTAGACATAAGAACACATAGATTTAGAAGTGGAAGGGTGCTAACGTCATCAAATCTAATTGTATTTATCTTACAGGTGAGAAGGCTGAGGCCCAGCTGAGTTAAGTGATTCACACAAGGTCACACAGGAACTTAAGGTGCTGAGTCAAGATTCAAACTTAGGTCTTCAGACTGCGAATCCAATCTTCTTTCTATGTTACAAATGGCACCGGATGTGAAGTATGAAGATGCTGATGTGAATTCTGGCTCAGCTAGTTACTGCCATGAACTGGGGAAGGTACATCCTCTCCCTTGGCCTAAGTGTCCCCATCTGCAGATTCAGTCTGTATCTATGACCCAGCTTCTGTGTCCCAACCAGTGTGGGGTGGTAGACGGTGCTGGCCTCAGAGGCAGCAACCCAGGAAATCCCAGGTTGTAGTCTCATTTCTGACACCTTTTGGGGGTGTGACCCTGGGTGAGTGACTTGGCTTCTCAAAGCTCTATGCTAGGTGGTGGGTACCCAAAGACAAAAAAAAAAAAAAGAGAGAGAGAAAAAGCCAGCCATGAGCCCTCAAAGAGTTTCCAGTCTACTAAGACGAGGGCAGAAGTAAACTGATGTTAGCTGTGTGACCCTGGGCAAGTCACTTAACCCTAACTGCCTCGCTTAAAAAAAAAAGAAAAAAAGTAAACAGATGACCACAAAGGTCCTTTTCCAGCTCTAAAAACAAGATCCTACGAGACTTCTCTTGGCCTCAGCTTTCCTATCTCTAAAAGGATGGGTTGGACTAATTGATCTTTAAAAATTGATTCCAGCTTTAAATCCTGTGACCCAATGGGTGTCTGAAAAATATAGGTTGTCCCAAAAGTCTTAGAGCAGGTTTGAACTTATATGGTTTGGTTTTTTTTTTTGGCTTTTATAAGCTTCAGATTGCCCTAAGATTTTTAGGACAACCTTATATATATGTGATATATACATGTATGTGTATATGTGTATACATATGTATACACATGTGTAAATACACACACATGTATGTGTGTGCATATATGTATACACATACCCACATTATACACTCCCCCATATATATGTAGTTAGAACAACTCCTCTATCTCCGTGTGTGTGTGTGTGTGTGTGTGTGTGTGTGTGTGTGTGTGTGTGTACACATACATGTGACAGAGTTCTCCATCTGTCAGATGGAAAGGTCAGCACCTACCCTATAACTCTCATAAGACCGTTCTGAGGGGAAGGTGGGAAAAATGTGAATGGGCTCTAAATGAACCCAGAGGCCTAGGTGTGCCTCGACATAGGTGGTCCTGGTGCAGGCAGGCCCATGTATTAAAAATCCTATTTGTGTATAAAGATCATTTTTTGGATGGGGGAAGTAGAGGGGGATGGAAATGATGCTTCCTCGCTTCTCACCGTACTTTAAAATTTGCAAAAGCCAACACCTTTGTGGAAGGAAGTGTTTCAGCCCCAGTGGCCCTGCCTTGGTCCCAACCTGACCCCTTGTGTCCCCTCCCCTTCCCCTCCTATAGGTGAGGATTGGAAGCTGCCACTGGAGAGCACTGATGGAAGGAGGTTCACCATGCCTGATCTCCTTCCCCAAAGCCCCCGGGCCACAGAAGTGATCCCCCTCCCTCCAGCAGGGGGTCGGGGCAGCCTGCACAGGCTTATTCGGGCCTTTGGAACCTGAGAGCAGAGGGTTCAGGAGAGGGGTGGGCAGAGGCTCTCGGGCTTGCAGGCGGCTCCAGGGGATACTTACTCAGCCGATTTCCAGAAGTGGCCCGGATGAGAGAGGCGCCGATTCAATTTAGGCAGCTTTTCCATCATCTCCATCAAGAGGGGAAAGCTGGGTCTCTCCTGCAGGTCGAAGGCCCAGCAAGCGGACAGGATCTCCTGCAGGGCGACAGGTCATTGGTTCATTCCCCAGGCGTCTGTCAGGCGCTTACTGTGCGAGAACTCTTGTGCTAGGCACCAGCAGGGGAAAGGAGGAGAAACTATCCACACCCAAGCTGTCAAGGAGCTTAGGGGGATGGGACAGCTAGGTGGTGCAGTGGATAGAGCACCGGCCCTGGAGTCAGGAGGACCTGAGTTCAAATCCGGCCTCAAACACTTGACACTAGCTGTGTGACCCTGGGCAAGTCACTTAACTCCAGTTGCCTCACCAAAAAGGGAGCTTAGGGGGAGGGGTGGGGAAACTCATAGGCAGATAAAGAAATACAGAATAATTTAGGCAGTGAGGAAGTACTAACAACTAAGGGGATTGGGGAAAGGCTTCCTGTAGGAGGGGGCATGGAGGAAGCAAAGGATTCTAAGTGGCAATAATGTGGAGGGCCTGCATGGGGGACTGGGCAAAGGTGGGAAGGCTGGAGACAAACTGTCATGTTGGGAGAACTACAAGTAGGCTGCTTTGGCAAGGAAGGTGGAGATGATAAAGGGGAAACATTCCTGGAGAGGGGCAAGGCTGGAGACAAACTGTCAGGTTGGGAGAACTACAAGTAGGCTGCTTTGGCAGGAAGGGGAGATGATAAAGGGGAAACATTCCTGGAGAGGGGCCTTTGAAGGACTTTAAAGATCAAACGTAAGTGAAAATCCCTGTGGGCCACATACTGACTTAGAAAACCACAAATTAACATTAGCTATGGACCCCTTTCCAGAATCATGTTTTTTAAATGCATAAAAATACATGATGAGAATTGCAAAGGAAACCAATTCTACTGAAATGCTGTCATCCAGAGTTTTTAAAAAGTTGACAGGCACCAGATTCAGAACCCTGCTCGCCAGCGCCCGCCCTAACCTGGCTCCTGTCCCAGGGAGGCAGCCACCATGGCTGCCAGCAGCCACTTACACTGACTTCCTTCCCCAAGCTGATCCCCGCCAGCACGTGCTTGACGCCTTCCCCGCTTCCAATCTGCCAGATGAGGGCTTCAGCAGCTTGGGTCTGGAAAGGCCAGTCTCTTGCTTGGAGTTCATACCACACCGTCCTGGAAAGATCACTTAGACTGAATCGGGACAGTTGGGAAAGCAGAGCGGGACAGTGGGGACAAGGCTGGATTCTGGGCTGGCCTGGGAGGTCTCTGGGCTCCTTCTCCCCTGGAGCTCTGATTCTATGACCCCAAGCCTTCCATGTGCCCCCTCCCCAATCCAAGATCACCAGAGACTTTGAGGGCAGAAAAGTAACAGCCCACGAAAGATGCCAGAGCTCTAAGGATTCGCTCCCAAATCTTGGCCTGTCCTATGAGAATATGCCAGGATGCGAGAGTGGTTTAGGAGCAAGGTGATCTGTAGAGTCTGATTGTGAGAGGAAAGTAAAGAGAGAGAGGGAAAGGAAGGGAGGGAGGAAAGAAGGAGGAGGGGAAAGAAAGAAAAGGACAGAGGAAGAGGAGGAGGAAAGACAGAAGGAAGGAGGAAGGAGGAAGGAAGGGCCCTAGAATTAGAATCCCACAATTTCAGAGTCAAAAGGGACCTCAGCAGCCATCCAGTTCAACCCATCTCCTCCTCCCACTCCCCCAAAAAGAACCTGACAAATGACCATCCAGGTCTCCAAGGAAAACAAACCTGAGGCAATGCCTTCCACTTCTAGACAGCCCAAACATGTGGAACTTGTCCCTTACCATGAGGCCTAGATCTGTCTCTTGGCGGCCTCCCCGGCCCTCACCCGCTGCCTCCCCAGGGGCACCCAGCCCTGCTTTCTGGGCCTCCAGGGCCCGCCGGAGGGCTCCCTTCTCCAGGCTTTTCTTTAGTTTCCTCAGCTTCACATAACAGAGATGGTCAAGAGGCTGTCTGACTGGAGAACTCCAACCCACAGCACCCTGGCTGCTGGGCATTTACGTTAACGATAATGACGACAGCCCATGTTTATTTAGCACTCTAGAGGCTTGCAAAGGGCTCCGCAAATATCATCTCATTTAATCCTCAGGTGATCCTGGGAGGGAGGTGCCATTATGAGCCTCATTTTGCAGACAGGGAAAATGAGGCATTTTGTTGTTCAGTTTTGTCCAACTTTCCGTGACCCCATTTGGTGTTTTCTTGGCAAAGATACCAGAGCAGTTTACCATTTCCTTCTTCAGCTCATGTGACAGATGAGGAAACTGAGGCAAACAGAGTGAAGTCACTTGCCCAGGTTCACACAGCTAGGAAGTATCTGAGGCTGGATTTGAACTCAAGTCCTCCTGTTTCTAAGGCTGGTGCTCTAGCCACTGTAGCACCTAGCAGCCAACCTCCTCATCCCCATCCCCACCCCAATGAGGCATACTGAGGTAAAATCACTTTCTCCACTAGTAGGTGTTTGAGGTAAAATTTGAATTCAAGTCTTCCCGACTCAAGGTCCTGGGCGCTACCCATTGCACCACCCATCTAACTGCCTTTGGTGAATGGTACCCACTGGGCTGGTAAAGCTATAGACTATGAAGTCGTAGATACAGAGCTGGACTTAAGAGCCAGACAGACCTGGGTTCAAATCCTGCCTCTTCCACTTACTGTAACCACTGGCAAGTCAGGCAACAAGCCTTTATTTACTGTGCCTGGCCCTGCGTGAAGCAGTGAGGATACAAGGAAAGGCAAAAACAAGTCACTTTCCTGAGCCTCAGTTACCTTATCTATAAAATTGGATTGACAATACTTGTCTCTCTTAGGCGTGCTGTGACAGTTGGGTGAGATAAGACATATATAAAATGCTTTGTAAACCTTAAAGTGCCCTCTCAGCTATCACCATCATTCCCCAGGCTCTTTACCGACTCTTTGACATCAATCTCTGACTCCAATTTCGTATTGTTCCTTTCTGAAGTTTCTGAAGTGAAGGTCACTCATCTATTCAACCTGCTTTCATCTGAGGCATCTTTCCTCTTCACAAAGAGGAAAGATCATTCCCACGCCTTGTTCACGGTGGCCAAGGGGCCCTTCAGGGGCTGTGTGATGTGACTCAGGCAGCCCAAAGCTGGAGATGGCCAGTCTACACCTGTCCTCGCTGGCTTCCTTCAAGTCTCAGCCAAAAGTCTCACTTTCTGCAAGAAGCCTTGTGCCTTCCCCGATAAGATTTCATCCTGTCTACATCTTATTGGTACATGGCTGTTTGTACATTACCTCCCCCATTAGACTATAAGCTCCTGGAGGGCAGGGACTATCTTTGTTTATTTCTTGTCTTTCTTTGTGTCCCTAGCACTTAACAAGGTGCCTGGCAAACCACAGGAGCTTAATAAATGCTCGTTGACCCATTGACCACTAAACATGGGGAGCATTTGGAGACTTGGGGGGCCTTGCATTGTGGCTGATGTTACATACTTTTGGCCCAGACTCCCTCAAATAGCCCCTGCAAGGAGAAAAGAGAAAAGGAGCCTGGAGGCTTCAGCTCACCCGAAGGCATACACATCAGCAGCTCTCGAGAAGGGCAATTTGTCTTCATCTTTCCCTGGGGTCATCTCCCGGACGATCTCGGGGGCCAGGTAGCACAGCCAATCATGTGGCAGTTTCAGCTCATTCTCCCGCCTGAATCACAAGAAGGCAGAAAAAAAGAATTGGGAGAGTGGGTATTTCCAAGGTTCTCCTCTGCTTCCATAAAGGAGATTAGCTGATTTCTCACATTAGCTAAAAAAGCAATACACAGATTAAGATCAGAGGTTCTAAACCTGGGTCTGTGAAGGTGGTTCTTAAAAATACTTTTATAACTGCATGTCAATTGAACTGATTTTCTTTGTAATCCTATGTATTTTATTTTATGCATTTAAAGCCACAATTCTGAGAAGGGGTCCACGGGCTTTGCAAAACTGTCTGCTGAAGGGGTCCAGGACAAAGACAAAGCAAAAAACTAACTCTAGGTCTAGATAAATATGTCACCAAGCAGCAAGTTTAATCTATAAAATTGCAAATTAGTATTAGGCTGGGATTTTGTGTTTGTTTTAGGCATATCATAAATGGAGTGAACAGCAATTCACAGATGGCTGAGATTTTTTTTTATCATTTCACTGTCTTTGCTGAGATGGGAGCTGTCCATGGCTTGACCTGAATCTAAATTTTCTCCTCTGTTAAATGAGGGAGTCAGACTGAGTAGGGCCTCACCTGCCCTCCTGCACCACTCCAGAGATCCCAAACAGCCCGAAGTCCGTGATGACCACCTTGCCGTTGTCATAGAAGATGTTCTTGGACTTCAGGTCTTTGTGTACGATGCCCTTGGCGTGCAGGTACCCCATTCCCTGGAAGAGAGCCCCACAAACAGGTCAGGTGGAGGGATGGCCTTGAGAGGCTGGGTCTGGGGGCTTCCACACCAGGAAAGGGGCTGTGGTGCTGAAGGTGCCTGACTGAGACGTGGCTCCGTGGAGAATGGGTGTCAGAGTGGGGAGATTAGGGTGGGACAAGATGGCAGGAAAGGAAGAAACAGTAACACGTTTGTGTTTAAACAAATGGAGACAGTGGCACCAATTCTAGGCGATTCAGAAATGGGCTTGATTCAACCCAAGGCCAGTCTACACTAGCTGTGTGACCCTGGGCAAGTCACTTAACCTGTTTGTTTCAGTTTCCTCATCTGTAAATGGGGATAATAACATCACTTACCTCCCAACGTCGTTGAGATGATAATCATAAATAGATGATAATTAGAAATCCCTTAGCCAGTGCCTGGCACAAAGTAAGCGCTGTATAAATGTTAGCTATTATTATCATTATTTGAGCATAGTAGGCATTTTATATTTGTTCAGTTGAATGGAATTAAAGGGCCATAATGTCTCACATGGCCTATAAACCTTATAAGGTTTATACTTCCTTCTCAATGACTCTGTGAGGTATAAGTTATGGAAGTGTTATTACCACCCCCATTTTACAGATGAGGAAACTGAGGCTTAGAGTAGCTATGGGACTTGCTTGCCCACAGTCACGGAGCTAGAGAGTGTCTGAAGTCGAGTCAAATCAAGTTATATCGACAAGCATTTACTACGTGTCTGAGAGTGGGGTAGCAGAAAGGACCTAGATTTGGAATCAGAGGACCTGGGTTTGAATCCCAAGTTTGCTACTTCCTATCTGTTTGACCTCTAAGGCCTCAGTTTCCTCAACTGTAAAAAACAAGGGAGTTGGAAAAAGGTCTCTTCCAGCTCTAGAGCTATGATTTATTTGTTCAACACTAATGGAGTGTTCACCATATGCAAGACATTGTGTTAGGAGCCAAGCCCCAGAGACAAAAAGGCCCTGTCCTCCAGGAGCTTACATTCTAGTTCACCACAAAGTCTAGCAGGAGCAGCCTGCATATGGTAAACTCTTCATTAGTCAAGGAAACTTAGGGCATAGAAATCAAAACTGAATCTCTCTATGACAAAGGTAAAGCTGCTGAGGAGGATTAAGAGGGGACTGAATGCCAGGGCTGTCCCCTGGCATTCCCTCTGCCAAGACTTCTCTCAATGACATTAACTATATAGAAGGATTTATAAATATATAATATATGTGAATATATTTATAAATGAAAATATACAAATATATAAAGCACTTGTATAGTGCTTTCTCCATCTCATTTTCTCTGACGTGTCAAATCTCCTTCTTCTATTTTCTCTATGCCAGCCTATTCAGTATCCATACCTGCCTTTAGGGAGAAAAAAATTCCTCTGGTTCTTTGGTTTTGTTTTTTTTTAAAGACTCAATTTATCTTGTGTATTCTGAGGGCAGGGATTGTTTTTGCTTTCTCTTGGTTATCTCCAGCTTACATCCTGCATGACACTTGGTAAGCACTTGACTGATTGTACGGGGGAGGAGCTGTGAATGCAGAAGGAGGGAAAGGCATCACTTCTGGGAAACAGAAACTGTGACCTAGGGTGAGGCTGACCCCAGGGTTAGCCTGCCTATCAGCTCAGGCTTTTTCTCCTGAGAGTATCCAAAAAGCATTTAAAACAGCCCCCTCTTTAGCCCCTCCTCCCCTGTTTAACCAGAGGAGCAGCCTCCCTCCCCCTCACCTGTCTCACTCCCGAAGCCCTTCCCTTCCTTGACTGCCAAGTCTGGCATCCCTTGAAGTGAAGCAAGAGATTTCCAGGAAAAGAGTCTTTCCTACATCCAGAATGGGCCCTGCCCACCCATGGGGCCCATTTCCAAGACTGTGAACCAGGCCATGTTTGCTTTTCCCACCCTTTCTCGCCCCCTTGACATTTCCTTTCCAGCTGTTCCCCAAGGCCGGAGTCACCTCCCATCCACTCCAGGAGACCCCTGGGAAAGGTCTCTTCTCTTCTCCTGGACCACAGAAGAGAGCTGAAGGAAGGGCGTGAAATCAGAGACAGTGGGAGCAAGGTGAGAAATCAGCCTGGCGCAGGAATGCTCTCCCTTCAGCCTCTGAGATGCCCTGGCTTACACACACACACACACACACACACACACACACACACACACACACACACACACACACACACATACACACACACACACACCCTCTAACTGCTCGCACCTCTTCCCCCAAATGGCCTTGAATTCTCTTTGCCCATGTTTCGTACCTACTTAGAGATATATGGAACATAAGCCCCAGAAGGCAGGGGCTGTTTCACTGAATGTGCCCGGCACATGGTCAGTGTTCACAAATGCTTGCTGGCCGCTTAACACACAATCAGGGAAGAAGCAGGTCACGGGCAGGGGGCCTTCTGAGCGCTGTCATTCACCCCAGAACATCATGACCCAGCTCCTTTAAACCCTAAAGATCGAAGTCCCTGTTTGTGGCTCTTATCTCAGGACCTAGGGATCTTATGGGCCAGGGAAGACATCAGTGGTCACCTATTTCCATGCAGATTGAAACTTTGTACAAATTTGGAAGCAGAGGTGGGCTATGCAGCTGAGCTGACTCAGGGTGAGCATTTAAACCTCCGGAATCATCAAACACCAAAAACCTGGGCTTGATCTGCCATTTTTGTGGATTGCCAGACTTAAGAAAGTGATGGAGAAAACATCAAGAGTGCATATTCAATGTTAAAATGTGTCCCGAGTACAGGTTTTCACCCCCAACCCCACCTGGGAGAGCTGGTTGTTAAACATGTATCAGCACATGCTGTGGTGGGAATAATCAGAGGTTCGTAGACTTTGAGCTCAGGGGAACCTCAGAGGACGACTAGCTCAGTGCTTTCATTTTACGGAGAAGGAAACTGAGGTTCATGGAGGGATGGGGACTTGCACAAGGTCTCACAGACTCAGAGCTTACAGGGACCTCAGAGGCCCTCATTTTACAGATGAGGAAACTGAGATCTGGGGAAGGAGGTGACTTGCTCAGGGTCATGCATGTAACAAGTAGCAAAGCTAGGATGTGAGCTCGGGTCTTGTAACGCCCAGACCACTGTTCCATGCAGTGCCTTGATTTGTATGTGGGAGGGGAGGAGGTGGCATGCCATAAAAATAATGATGATAATTGACATTCTTAAAGAGCCCAGTTAAAGTCTGCAAAATATTCTGCTCACTGGAGTTTCCAAACAAGCAGAGGAGGTGGGTGCTATTATCACCCCAGGCAGCTAGCTGGTGCAGCTGATAGAGAGCTGGAAGACCTGGGTTCAAATCCTGCCCTGACACTTACTGGCTGACTGTGTGACCCTGCTCTCTGTTAGCCTCTGTTCACCTTAGCTTCCTCATCTGTAAAATGGGGATAATAATGGCACTTACCTCCATTGCGAGGATCAGATAATAATTGTAAAGCGTCTGGCACAGTGCCAGGCAAGGAGTATATGCTGTATAGATGTGAGCTATTTTTATTTTTACTTTATATTTATATTTATAATTATTTTACAAAGGAGGTGCAGAGACATGGATGGCCTGCCCAGTGTCACTCAGCTTGTAAATATCAGAGACAGGATTTAAACCCAGACTTTCTGACTCCAGGTCCAGAGTTATCTACTACATCATGGAGTGGGAGGAAAATGGAAATTTTAGGAATTTTCTTATTTTTTTTTTTAAATGCCGGCTGTATTTTTACTGGGCCGTCAATCAATGAACACTTTTTTTTTGGCTGGGAATACAACCACACCCCTTGTTCTGCCCCCACACTGACCAGTATTAGGTCTTTATGAGTCTGCAGGCACTCAGTTCAGAAACATCAAAAGAGATTAGGCCTAAGCTGGGTCTTCAGCAAATAATTATGCTTGACTCATTCAGAGAGAGGCAGCCTTGTCCTGCTCTGGGCAAAGACTAGCTCTGTGGCCACCGGCAATGGCAGCTCTCAGTGCCCCTGGGAGACTCTCTGAAAACACAAGGCACAGAATGGTGGTGTCTGTCAATGGAACTTCCATACTGGGAGTACTTTTAATTGAAGAAATCCTATAGCCAGTCTCTTCTCTACCTCCAAATTGTTTATATAGACATAGAGAAGAAGGGCAGGGGAAGGAAAGGGGGAGAAGAAAAGAAAAAGAAACAGAGGGGAGGCAAGAGAGGGGGAGAGGAGATGGAGGGAGTGGGGGAAAGGAGGAAAGGGAGAGTTGGAAGAGGAGAGGAGGAGAAGAGAGAAGAGAAGGGGAAGAAGGGATAGGAAGAAGAGGGAAATGGGAAGAGAGGGGACAGGGAAGAGGAGAGGGAGAGATGGAGGGACAGGAGGAGAAGAGGAAAGGGAGAGGTAGAAGGGGAGAAGAGGAGAAGAGAAGGGGAAGAAGGGATAGGAAGAGGAGGGAAATGGAAAGAGACAGGGATAAGGAAGACGAGGGAGGGGAGAAGGGATGAAGCAAAAGAGGAGAGGGAAGGGAAGATGGAGGGAGAGGAAGAGAGAGAAGGGAGGGAGAGGGGATATGGAAAAAGACTCAGGAGACCTGGGCAGTAATCCCCTCTTGGCTACTAACTCCCTACATGACTGAGAAATTCTCTGGACATCAGTTTCATCCTCTGTAAAATCAAGGGATTCAGGCTAGATCAGGGGTTCAGAACCTGGATCTGTGAACGTGTATTTGTCAATATTTTGATAACTCTATTTCCATAGAATTGGTTTTGTTTGCCCTCATTCAAATCCAGCTTCAAACATTTCCTAGAGCAGGGTGATCCTGGGCAAGGCGCTCGACCTCTGCTTGCCTCAGTTTCCTCCGCAGTAAAATGGGAACGACAAGAGCACCTATCTCCCAAGGTTGCTGTGAGTATTTAATGAGATCCTATTTGCAGAGTGCTTAGTACAGTGTTTGGCCTACAACAGGCTCTTAGTAAAGGCTTGTCCCCTTTCCCTCCCCCTCCTATGTGTTTTATTTTATTCATTGCTCTGAGAAGGAGTCCACGGGGGTCACCAAAACGCGACCAAAGGGGTCCAGGACACAAATAGCGTCCTCTGATTTTACTCGACACCGTCATTTTTATAGATTATGGGCAGAAAGGGTTAAAGGGTTGAAAGACACATGGGTAGAAAGCCATCCATTTCAATCAATCAGCTACAGGCTGGGCACCGTAGATACAAAGACAGAAATGAAACAAAGGTCGCCGCCTGCCCTCAAGAAGCTTATCATCTGTTTCAAACCAACACCATGGAGGGGAGGCGAGAGCTGGAAAAGCCGTGTTCCCTAGGAAAGGTGGCCATCCACTTACCTTGATGATCTCCTGAGCAACCTGCCTGGTCTTATTGATGTCCAAGCTCGTCTTGGGGTCCCTCACAAAGGAGTGAAGCGTCCGCCCTTTGCAGAAACTGCAGGAGAGCAAAGAGGAAATGGGAGAGAGAGAAAGACCCCATGAGCAGCTGCCCTCTGCACACGAGGGCTGGCCCAGAAGGGATCTCAGGCCTCTTGTGGTTCCAACACCTCCTGGGTGGTGGGCAGAGACAACTGGTTCTGATGCGAGAGGCCTTGGGTTCGAATCCCATCTGATTCCTCCCCATTTACTAGCCTTGCCACCTTAGGCAAGTCCCCCAACCTCCCCATGACTCAGTTCCCTCATCTGTAAAAGCAGGAATGAAAGAGGTACCGTGGAAAGATCATTAAAATTAAAAGTTAAAATCCCACCTTTGACTATTACTACCTGGGTGACCTTAGGCAGAGAACTTTACATCTTCAGGCCTCAGTTTTGTCATCTGTAAAATGAGTGGGTTGGATTAGACGGCCCTGGAGGCCTCCTCCAACTCTGGATGTAGAATTCTCTGGTCCTATAGTAACAGCTCATATGTAGGCAGCACTTTAAGGTTTGCAAAGCCTAGGAGGCAGGAGTTATTATTATCACCATTTTACAGATAAGGAAACAGAGACCGACAGAGGGTAAGTGACTTGTTCAGGGTCACACAAATGGTTTCTGAGAGACAGTGTAAAGTCACAAAGTTTGAACTCAGGTCTTCCTGATTCTAGGGGATCTGTTCTGTGAAGTCTGGAGTCAGTCAAAGGGCGCACTTGAGGACCTAGAGCGCCACGTGTGGCCCCGAGGCCGCAGGTTCTCCGGCCCTGTTCTAGGGTCTCTGATAGCTATCTATTCTCCATTACCTTTAATACCTGAAATTTCCTGTAAATTAAAAAAAAAGTTAGTATTCCTCCAGCAGCAGCTAGGTGGCGCCATAGTACACAGAGTGCAGGGCCTGGAGTTAGGAAGACCCAGGTCCAAATGTAGCCTCAGACCCGAGCGACTTAACCCTGTTTGCCTCAGTTTCCTCATCTGTAAAATGAACTGCAAAAGGAAATGGCAAACTATTCCAATATCATTACCAAGAAAACCCCAAACAGGGTCATGGAGAGTTGGGCACGACTCCCATGGCTGAACATTCCTTCACTGAGCCCGAGGGAATAAAGTAACATCCACTCACACCACTAAAGCAGTTAGGTGGCACAACGAACAGAAGGCCGGCTCTGGACTTGGGAAGACCCAAGTTCAAATCCTGCCTCAGACACTTACTGGCCGTGTGACGCCAGACAAGTCACTTGAGCTCCCACCCTCAGTTTTCTCATCCATAAAATGGGGATAATGAATAGCACCTGCTTCACAGGGCTGTAGTTCATTGTTAGTGTTGTTATCATGAAGCCTTTCCTGGTTCCCCTACTACAGGGCCGGCCTCCTCCAATTACCTTCTATCTCCTTTCTATCTCTTCTGGACAGATCTAAATGGCTATGTGGTACTCCCCAGGACAATGTAAGCTTCCTGAAGCCAGAGACTGTCTCATTTTTCTTTTGTTCCCCTAGGTTCCAGAAGAGTGCAGGGCATGCAGTAAGTGCTTAATAAATGCTTGTTGCTCTGTTGATCTGCGGCTTCATTCTCTCCATCCCCATAGATTACAACCTTCCCTGAGACTCAGATGGGCTTTAAGTATTGCTGTGGCCAAAAAAAATCCAACCCTCTTTGGCTAGCCTAATAAGAGTCTCTCTGCCGGCCTCTGGACAACAGACACGCTCGAAGCCTTTCCAACGTGGGAAAACCTTATATTCCACTGCACTAGCCTAAAAAGGCTCCCCTTCACCTTCACTAAGGGAAGACTACAGATGCGGGCGACATATTTTTATTTTAAAAAATAAGCTTCTAAATAAAAAAGCTTACACTAAAAAAAAAAAAAGACCTGTGCACTGAGCAGGGGAGTTTTGAATTTCAAAGATGTCAATGCAGAAATTTCAGGGATTTCGTTTGCAAGATGATACAATAGAATAAAACACATTTATTAAACTGCTACTGTATGTAGGTCTCTGTACTAATTGCTGGATGAAAAACAAGGTTTTAATTAGCCGTGATTCCTGCCCTTGTAGGAAGGGCAGCCTAGAAAGGGGAAGGGACGACGGCACAGGTATAATACACAATATTCTATAAGTTTGCCAGAACTTTAATAAGTTCTTACTAATGCTTTAATATACTTTAATAAGGACTACAGTAAGTTCATACAGAGCTTTTTGAGGTCTGAGGGCCAAGGCTGATGCCAACCGGGGGAATTCCTAAGTCAAGGGGGACTTTTAGCAGAGACCTCTTATATGTAGGAAAAAGTTTTAAAACAAACACCATTCAGAAAGATCATGTTTTAAGAAATTTTCAGGGGAATGAGATTCTTTTCGGAATCTTGCTACATGAAAGAAGGAGAAAGGAATATGCATTTATTAAATGCCTACCATGTACCAGGCACTGTGCTGAGGACTTTTTCTAAGTATTATCTCTTTTGCTCCTCACAGCAACTCTGGGAGATGGGTGCTATTATCCCCATTTTACAGTTGAGAGAACTGACGCAGGCAGAAGTTAAGTGACTTGCCCAGGGTCACACACTTAGTAAGCAAGGCGAGATCTGAGCTCAGGTCTTCCTGACTCCTTGCCCAGTGCTCTAACCACCATGCCTCCAAGACCTACAATGTCAAAATGAGGACACTGTGATATTGAGAAGACACTTAGGGCCTAAAGAAGAAATACGACAATGCACTTCCTTCCCATCTTTGCAAAGGTGGGGGGCTATGGGTGTGGAACACAGCAGATGCAATTGAAATTGGATGACACGTTGGTTAATTTTGCTAAACTTTTTTTTAAAACCTTTCTTCCTTTCTTCCTTCCTTCCTTCCTTCCTTCCTTCCTTCCTTCCTTCCTTCCTTCCTTCCTTCCTTCCTTCCTTTCTTTCTTTCTTTCTTTCTTTCTTTCTTGGTGAGGCAATCGGAGTTAAGTGACTTGCTTGCCCAGGGTCACATAGCTAGTAAGTGTCAAGTGTCTGAGGCTGGATTTGAACTCAGGTCCTCCTGACTCCAAAGGCCAGACCTCTATCCACTGTGCCACCTACCTGTCCCTTTTAAAACCCTTTGTTAACGAGATGACTCTTTAGATGAGGATGGTGAGAAAGACATATTGGGAAATGAAGGTGATATAGAAACAAGATGCTAGTAAAATTAATTTTTTTCCTTTTATTTTTTTGGCTAGGCAATGGGGTTAAGTGACTTGCCCAGGGTCACACAGCTAGTAAGTGTTATGCGTCTGAGGCCAGATTTGAACTCAGGTCCTCTGGACTCTAGGGCCAGTGCTCTATCCACTGCGCCATCTAGCTGCCTGGTAAAATCAGTTTTCAAAAACGAAGTGAGCCTGGGGCCACAGGGGGCTCTCCGCTTACCTGGTGATGATGGCGAGGTGCGGGGGATTCATACAAGCCCCCATGAAGAGCACGACGTTCTCGTGCCGCGTCTGCCTATAATTCATCACCTCCTTCTTAAACAGCTTGAGATGGTCCTGGTTGTTGCCGTCCATCTCCAGCAGGCGGATGGCCACCTCCCCGTGCCATCTGCCCCGGTAGACCTTGCCCCACCGCCCCTGCCCGATGGGCTCGCCCAGCTCCACCTGCTCGAAGGGAATGTCCCACTCCTGCAGGTAGACGCTGGTCTTGCTGGCCTTCCGAGAGATCATCCCTCTCCACGGCTTCCGGGAGCTGGGGAGGTCGTCCAGCTCGTCCTCATCGTCTTCCAGCTCTGACTTATTCGCCTCATGTTCTTCTACCTACAATGGAAGAAGAAGAAGCAGCAGCCATGGAGCGGGTGAGAGGCCATGCGGTCCCACGAGGCAGCCGCTGGACCTGGACTTTACATCACAGAAATCCAGGCTCATCCCGAGTGACCTTGTGTAAGTCCCATCCCCACGTCGAGCCTTGGCTGGACTGGTCCCAACATTCTACATTCCACGATCTGTCAATGACTCGTGAGCACTATTGGAGACTCATATAAGTTTTTGCTAGTGGCCACGGCAAAGAGGAAGAATGATCAAGTCAGAAGCTTTTTTTGGTAAATATTTTTATCATTAAACTGTTTCTGCCCTTCAGGCCATTAGTAAATCAAAGTCTCTCTCGCCTTCACAAGCCGTATCTTATATCTAGAAGCCAGGCTGTAGCTGGACAATGATGATGACAGTTAACATTTATACGGCACCTACTGCGTGTGAGGCACTGTGCTAAGCGCTTTACAATTATTATCTCATTTCATCCTCACAATAACTCTGAAGTAGGTGCTGTTATTATCTCTATTTTACTGATGATTAAACTGAGGCAGGTAGAGGTTAAGTGACTTGTTCAGGGTCACGCAGCTATTGTCCGAGGCCACATTTGAACTCAGGTCTTCCTGACTCAATGCCTGGCGTTCTACCCACCGAGCCACCTAGCTATCATTGCACAGAACTCAAATTGGTCTTAAGAAAGTATCTAAGTGGAGAAACAAAGGGATCACTGGACTCAGACAAAGATGACCTGAATTCTAATCCTGCCTCAGATACTTATTAGCTGCGTGATCTTGGACCAATCACTTCACTTCTTCCTCATCTAAAAAAATGCCTCTCAGGGGCAGCTAAGTAGATCGAGCACTGGCCCTGAAGTCAGGAGGATCTGAGTTCAAATCTGGACTCAGACCAAACACTTGACATCTACGAGCTGTGTGACCCTGGGCAAGTCATTTAACCCCAACTGCCTCATCAAAAAGGAAGAAAAAAGTCTCTCAGGGTTGTTACATGGATCAAATGAGATAATATATGTAAAAACTTAAAGAAGACTTTAAGAAGCTACGTAAACGTTAGCCATCATAAGCATTAAGGATAAACATGTAAAGGGAAGCAAAATTCATGAATTTTCTAATTGTTCTTCCTTCCTGTAGACATTAGCCTGGAACCTTCTGTAACATAGAACTGGACTCAAGGAAGCTGCCTTTCCTTCGCCTCTAGGTACAGCTCCATTTCTCAACTTTCCCAAAGGGGCAGAAAGCTGTATTATACCCATTACTCTGATAGTGACATTAAGGCATGCATGGGGCGGGAGGGGAGCGATTGACCTAGGGACCCCCGCTGTGCCATCTCCAAGCTCACCTCTGTTTCGTGGTCCTCGGCCACGTTGGCTTTCGGTTGGTCATTGACCCTATGGAGAGAAGGATTTATCAAAGAAAACTCAATGCAGACCATTCCAGTTTTCCTGGGGACGGAAAGCTAAACCACAGGGATGTTTGGATTTCTGGATCTCTGCCTGGCTCTCCCCAAGCCAAAACCATGATTCCTAATGTCAGGTATAGCCAAGTTACTAAATGCTTCTGGATAAAGCACATTTTTAATCCACCTCTGTTTTTCCTAGTTCACCTCTGAAAGATGTGGTGGTTTTCAGGTCTATTTTGGGAGTATACAGAAGGTTAAAACAGGATTAGAATGAGGGGACCAGGGTTTTAGCCTCAGCTCTGCCACTACGAATTCTGTGTGTGACATTGGGAAAGTCACTTCCCCAATGTGGGCTTGTTGCTTCCTCCTTAAAAGGACGAAGGCTGATAAGGAGAACAGTTTATATAACAATAACAATGTAAAAGGAAGCAACTTCAAAAGATTTAAGAACTCTGATCAGTGCAGTGACCACTTATGATTCCAGATTCAATGATGAAGCACACCACTCCATCTCCACAGAGAGAGGCTGATGGACTCAGGATGTAGAATGTTTTGTTTGACTGGGAATTTTTGTTCCAAAGGTTGTGGGGGGGGTTTCTTTCTATTAAATTAGGTATAGGGTGGGAGGGAGAGAAAATAAATACTTGTTAATTAAAAAGCAAAAAAATAAAATGAGGCAGTGGACTCCGACAGCGCCCTTTCTAGCTGCGATCTTTCATTTTCTCTCTTCCATATCACATGCATCGTATACCAGAAAGGCCACAGAGAGAAACACCACAACCGCTCCCCAGTTGGCTGAATGAACATTAGGCCAATAAAACATTTTTGGCCACCAAAGTATGTGACTTGTTCAAATGTCCACATTGACAAGGAAGCTTGGCTGTAATCTGCTGGTACCAACTCCACAAATACCCAGGTAGGAAAAGGAAGGTTTAACCCACAAGCATGTTACTTGGAAGAAGTTTGGGGTTTATTTTTTATGAACTTGGAAAAAGGTGGGGAGAGAGAGAAAAGCAGATAGAGATTAAGAAATTCCCCATTGGCTGGAAGGAGAGATATGAAGGTGAGGTTGATTCTTACCGCGTCTCTTCAGCTGTATCAGGGACTTGGGGCGGTTGGGGTGGGGTGGAAATTTCTAGATAAAACAAAAACATAACACTAAGAATGAGGAGCCATGTTTCCCGTTCACTTTAGGTCAAGGGGGCAGAGTAGGGGTAGGGGAGAAACCTTTGTTTGAAAATAATTTCTTGGTAAATTGGTTGCTTTCTCCTAAACCATATTCCCCAAAGGAAAGACTTTACTGATTTATTTTCGAGTTCTCCCCCAACCCATCATGCATTCCACTTCAACAAAAGCGCGTTTTTGGAGCTGACAAATCAACAAACATTTATTAATCACCACGTACCAGGCTAAGAGGTAGTGGATTGAGGCAGGCCTAGAAGCCAGGAAGACCTGGGCTCAAGGCCTTCTTCCTACACAGACAGGCTGTATAACCCTGGGCGGGTTGCTCATCCATAAAAGGAGAGGCTTGGATTAGCTGGCCTCACGCTAGGACCCAACCCCATTGCTATCACTCTGACACTGAATCTCATGCCCACGAGCTGACCACTGCCATAACAGCCCAACAGATCTTCCTGACTCTACTCTTTCCTCACTCCAGTCTACCCTTCACACCCCTTCTAGATGAATCTTCTTTATGTAGAGAGCTAGTCGTGCTATTCTTTTACTCAAAACAGAATTTTTGCTTCTATCCTACTCACTCAATAGGACTTAAGAAGTCACACTATTGAGTATGATGGTGTACCTTGTAATCCCAGCTACCAGAGGCTGAAGATGGTAGACCTCTTGAGCTCAGGAGTTGAGCTGTATTGGGCTATGTTGATTGGATCTCTCCTCTAAGTCGTCACCAGTACGGTGAGCCCCTGGGAGTGGGGGGGCCACCAGCTTGCCTAATGAGGGGCAACCAGTCCACTTTAAAGGTTAGAAACAGGGCAAGCCAATTAGTAGTGGGCTTAGGCCCATGAGGAGTCTAGGTTTTCCAGCCTGAGATAAATGGGGAGACCTCATCTTTAAAAAGGAAAAAAAAAGACATTTCTAACCCAGTCTGATTGTAGCCAATTCAACAGCAGCATTTAGGTAAAATTTTGTGAACTATAATATAGAAAGAATTTTGAATTTATTCAATTCATATTTTAAAAATGAATATTCAACTGTTATAGTGATTCTAAATGACACATGATAAATAACTGAAACTTAGAATATATACACATATATAAAGTCTTTAAGGTACAGAGAAGTATGCAGTATAGACAGAACACGATATAAGAACCAAGAAATCTGAATTTTATTCTTGGCTCTGTGACTAACTGGCTGCCTTACTGGGCTATATAGGATCATAGATAGAGCTGGAAGGGACCATCGATGTCCGGTTCAACTTCTCCTTTAGAGATGAGGAACTGAGTCTCAGACAGGAGAAGTGATTTTCCTAAGGTCACAAGGCAGGATCCAGGTCCTCTGCTTCCAAATCTAGTGTCTCCTCCTCTGTAAACACGGAAGAGGAGGAGGAGGAGGAGGGAGAGGAAGACAGTACTGCCAACTGGTTAGACCAGGCTTCTTCACTTTAAAAAAGGGAGATGGAGACAGCTCCGAGTGACTAATGAATCATGAACACAAGCTTGGACTTTGAAGGAATTTGGCCAATTCCTGCTACCTGAAATCAAGCCTTATCTGGCCTGCTAACGGAGCCACAGTTTCAGAGTTGGAATGGACCTCAAAGGTCATCCAGTCCAATCTTGTTCCTCCCTACAGACCAAACAAATGGACATCCAGCCTTTGCACAGAAATAGCCAATGAGGATATTTCCAACTAAACTCCTTTCCCAGATAGCCCAGCCCACTCCTGGGTAGCTCTAATTGTCAGAAAGTTTCTTCCTAGGATTGTAGATGTATAGCTGGAATCATCTTGTCCAATTTCCTCCTTTTATAGATGAAGAAACTGAAGACCAGAGAAAGGAAAAGAATTGCTCATGGTCATATAGGTTCTTAGATCCCTAGTTCAATTGCAATGACCCATGTCAATTGGGCTGACCCTTGTCAACTACACTGCCCTATGTCATATGGACCGACCCATGTCAACTGCACTGACCCCATGTCAACTGGACCGGCCCATGTCAATTGGACTGTACCATGCCAATGGCACTGTACCATGTCAACTGCACTGACTCCATGTCAATTGCACTGACCTTTGTCAACTACACTGACCTATGTCAAATGGACTGACTCATGTCAATTGCACTGTACCATGTCAATTGCACTATACCATGTCAATTACACTGACCCATGTCAATTGTACCAAACTATATCAATTGGACTACACTATGTCAATTACATTGTACCATGTCAACTGCACTGTACTGTATCAATTGTATTGTACCATGTCAATCATACTGTATCATGTCATTTGCAATGTACCTCTATATGGACTTCAAGCTTTTTGCATTTTACTAGACCCAAACCTCTCAGTGACTCAGTTTCCTCATCTGCAAAATAAGGATATTGGCCTGAGGTCCCTTAAATCTATGAGCCTGTGATCCTAAATTTGCCTCTTTGTAACTTCCGCCCGATTCTCTTTGTTCTCTGGGATCAAGAAGAACAAGCCAAACTCTTCTTCCGTAGGATAGTTTTCCAGTTGCTGGTTCCTCCCCACACCCAGCTATCCCTTCTCCATGCTGAACAACCCCGGCTCCTCCAGACAATCCTCCTATGCCATCTATCTAAGGCCCTTTGTCACACTGATCGCCTGCCTTCAAAGGCTCTCCAGCTCACCACCCTCCTTCGTAAAATGTGGATTGGTCACTGGGAATGATCTCAAAGCCCTTCTCTGCTTTGCCATGCTGAGATCTAGGAGCTGGTAACATTTCACTGATACCAGCAGGGACTGAAAGAGCGTCTTACATACACTGCTCCTTAGCACCACCCAGTGTCCGGCAGCCAAAGAATTTCCTGTTTAAAGTTCTTTTCCCTGGATGCTGCAGGATGATGCCTCACAGACTAAATGGCAAGAATTTCCCCGTAACATTCCACAGTGGGTGTGGATTCTAAATCCAGTTGGCTAATGTGGTGTAGTGGGGAAAGTATCGAACTTGGAGTTCAAATGTTGGCTTTGCTACTTCCTGGGTGACCGTGGGTTAAGCTCTTAACTTCTCTGGGACTCAGTTTCCTCCTCTGTAACAGGAGGCGGTTGGGGCTTGATGAGGTTCCTTGTGAAGCTCCTTCCAGTTGTAAAGCTTTGATCCTATAATCAAAAACTGTGCTTAGCCTAATTGACCCGGTCTCACTTCATGCAAACTCTGAAACCCATTTTGTGATCTGGAGATGTTCCTCATGATGGCCAGTAGGTGGCACTGTGCAGCAAGTTTAGGCAGGTCAATGGCTGTATCTTAAGAGATGGATTGAGTGGCGGATTAGAGTGAGAGTCAAGGACTCAGTTTCCTCACTTGTAAAGTGGGGTACCATCTTCCCTGCAACTACAAGTAAGGGAGATGAGTGAAAAAGAGGCTCAGAAAACCATCAGCACAGAGGGGGTAGGAGAAGAGGGGAACTGCTTATCTCATAAGCTGAGATCCCATCATTCCCCATGAAGGTGTGTATTGGGAGAACTTAGGTCAGTGGATATGACTGTGTCCTCATGAAAATCACTTCAACTCCCTGGACACAGTTTCCTTTTCCATAACCTTGGCTTCTTCCCCAGTGCCTACAAATGCGTCCCCTCCCCCTGTTAAATAAACGTCCATTTAGTGCCACCATCCTATATCTCTTCTTTTCATAATTCAGCTTCTGGAAAGAATGGTCTACCTTCGGTGGAGCTCTTCCCTCATCACCCCTTCCCTTTTCAATCCCTTGACACCATTCCACTGAAATTAGGTCCTACACCTGTCTCTTACCCACTAAATCCGATGGTCTACATGGTCTCTCCAGTTTTTGACACTGTCCCCACTCTGTCCCCACTGCTCTCTCCTGGTTCTCCTCTACCCTGTCAGACCGCTCCCCCTAAAGGACTCCTGATTCCAAGGCCAGAGCTCTATCCACTGTGCCATCTAGCTGCCCCTGAGTTCCACTTTAGACATGTTAAGTTTAAATGAGCAAGGAAAGCAACCAGAATCCCCAGCTATGGCATCAGTGGATTACGGGTTCTATTTTATTGTGAAAAGCAGTGTGTGGAAGTGGAGACTGAGGAAGATCTGGGTTCAAATCCAGCCCCTGACCTATACTACTGGCTATGTGACCCTGGGCAAGTCATTTCATTTCTAAGTGTCCCAGACAATCCTTTAAGACTGTAAGTTGATAAATGCTGACCTGCATTGCTAGAGGGAGTTCCTTATGCCAATGAAATTGCAGGCCCAGTGAAACACAAAAAATGTTGTAGTATCAGGAAGAGAAAAGAAGAACCACTGGAAACCAGTTAGTCAAGCCTCCTTGTTTTATGGAGGAGGGAACTGACTTACTCAGAATGGAGCTAAGTCCAGTCTCTGGGTCACCTGACTCTCAGGCCAGGGCTGGGTCGACCACACCCTGCTGAGAGGGGCGGGAGGACTCTCCCCTCTCTGGCTGCACTGCCCCTCCTAGTCCCCCTCTTTCCCCCTCACCATATTGGGCCCACCAAGTTCAGGTACAGCCTTCATAATCCCACCTGGTGCAATGGGAGCCCCACAAAGAGAGGCTCAGCCAAGACCAGAAAGGCAGAAGTAATGGAAGTGACGAGCAGTTAGTAGAATCCACAGCCATGACTCACCTGGGAAGATAGACTGCTGTCTATGATGGATATAGTGGGCAGCTTGAAATAAAAGAGGAGAGCAAATCACACAGACAAACAGCAAACACAGCCGGGAGAAAAATGTCAAGACAGATGGTCAGTGGCAGGTGCATGTATTAAGGGACCCACACTCGGTGGGGGCTCGGGTCAACTAGTTAACTGGGTTCTTATTCTCTGCCCGCTCCCCACAGGCTTCTTGGAGAAGCGGGCTAAGTGAGGAGGGGTGCACAGTCTAAGGTTAGAGCTGGTGGAGAAAGGGGGAGAAGGAGGTGTGTAGAAATGGGGACAGGCCCCAAAGCTCTCAGCGCCGAAGGGTCCTGCATTATTGCCTGTGTGGGAAGAGCAGAGGGCTTAGAGATAGGAGATACGTGTCTCAAACTGTGACCTTAGACCATCTGCCCCCTCCCCAACTCACCCAAATAAATGTATGAGAGACACAGGAACAGGCCACTTGTAAAAGCCTGCCCAATAAGCTCTGCGTCTCCCAGGTGACTCACTGGAAATAGGGTCTGGGGCCCTGCCCACCTCCTCACTACTCACTGGATCTCACATCACTCCCCATAATGCCTATTTCAAAGTATGGCTCTCCGGGCCTCTGTTTCCTCATGTCTAAAAGAGGGACTAACTGCCCTTCCTCCCCCAAGTGTAAAGGGAGGCTTTCCTGGGAAAAGCACCTTGGGAAAGTAAAAACTACCTGGAAAGCCGAGGTATGACTTTCACAGTCAATGATACCCTTAACCAAAGAATCAAGGCTCTGTTGTGCTGATTTGCAAAACAAACTGCTATTGAGGGTTTATTTGGGGGTCTACGCAATTTGTGGGGAGGGGGTTATAAGCAACTGAGCCTTCATTTAGGACTTTGTGTTACTCTCCCCTCACTGAGAGGACTGAACTCATCTCTCACACCAGACTACTTATGCATCCACTCACACTTCAATGAGGATGGTGAGTGATTAAGGCTTACTTATGGATTAGAGCAAACTCTCTGTACTGGGTCTGTACAAAGGGGATACAGCAGACATTCAGGAAGAGAGATCCAGAGAGCTGATTTCACACTAGAGAAAGCAATCGGATGTAAGAGCAGACTTGGGGTTGGGAAAACCTGTGCATCCATGCAGCCCCTCACCCCTACCCTGGGAGTCACTAAAGGCAGCCTGGAAGATCAGAAAGGTGGAGAGAGAGGCAGCATTGGGGTCCCAGAAAAGGAGGGAGAGGCAGTGTTGGAACCAGACGAGAGGAGGGGGCCACACAACCCAGGCCCCTCTGGACTGGCTCTAATCCACAACGGCCTCAACCTACCAAACCATCCCCGAGACTTAATACACCATCATCCTCAATGAAGGGGGTGAATGGGTCATTAGAAAAAGGCTGCAGCTGCTCAGAAACCGATGTGAAGAAGCGGAAGAGAGAAGCAGGCCTCCGTTCATGCTGAGATCATTCAACGTGATAGCAGCTCATGGAGATTTACACTTGCTCCCAATTTAAAGCACACAGATTTCATGCAGCATGAGCACAGCACTGAGAAATGAGCTCAGAGGGACGCAGCCCTCAGCTATTTCTAGACTTCTCCCTGCTCTCATCCTCCTCCTTCCCCACCCACCCCCCAAAACCCAGTCAGAGAGGCCGAGGCTGATGTTCTTTGTGCTCCAGAGAAGGCAGCCGACTCATCGCCCCTGTAGACAAGCTGAGGCCTTACTGACACCATGGCTAGGACAGCTCAGACCAGACGGGTCAAATTCATTTAGGGAAATGCACATGAGGTCTCCTCTATGGGTCAGATCACTCTCCTGCCTCACACTCCCTTCCACTGCCCCTCACCCATCAAGTAAGTCTACGCGAGACGCCGGAGCGGGCCATGAAGAAAGGCTGATGGGCTCTGACTCTCCTGGAATTTTAGACTCCTTCTAAACAGGGGCCTGCCCCACCTCATCACTCCTCACCCAATCTCGCCTCCCTTCCCTAACCCCTTTCTCAAAATGTGGCTCTAAGGTGAGTGCCTAACGTGTATAAAGTGCTTCGAGGCTGACAAAGTACTCAGCAGGCCTTACCTTGCTGGAGTGTCCTGATATCCCTGTGGAAGGGGCGTCGTGGGTGGCATTATCCCCACTTTACTGAGGTTCAGAGAGGTTAAGTGACTTGCCCATCATCCCACAGCTGGTAAGCGCCAAAGCCCAATCTCTCCTATTCCCCAAGGAAAGTGTGTTTTCCATAATACCACACTGTTTTCTAACATAAAAGTTGCTGTTATTTCATCCTTTTCAGTTGTGTCTGACTCTTTGTGACCCCATTTGGGCTTTTCGTGGCAAAGATCCTGGAGTGGTTTGTCCTATCCTTCTCCAGCTCATTTGACAGATGAGGAAACTGAGGCAAACAGGGTTACACAGCTAATAAGTGTTTAAGGTTGGATTTAAATTCAGGTCTTCCTGACTCTGGGCCCAGCAGTCTATTTTACTATAAAAGCATAATCTTAAAATTTAAAATGAATCACAATAAATTATATGTTAAGGATGTTTGAGGATTTTGCAATGCCCTTCATGGTAAATGGAGAAAAATTCTAGGACGCTACAAAACCAGGGTTGGGAATTCCTCTTCTGGCATATACATTTATTGGACTGGATTTCATTAGTTTAGAAAACAAAAGCTCAGTGGGGAAACTTTCTCAACTAATGCTGAATTGCAATCACTCTGCAGTTTCTAGTCCTGAGTTGCCCAGGGGCCTGTGAGGAGTCAAAGGCTGGACTCCTGACTCTGAAATCTGCTCTCATTACCCCCTGCCACACTGTTCTTCCTGGGTATAAATGGGGCTGGGGTCAGTCATGAGTTTTAGTCACTCTCCAAGCCTCCACTAGCCTCCTTCTACTCCATCACCAAATCTGCTCCATTCCTTAGCCCAACCGGCCAAGGAGGGCCACTCCTCCTGGCAGATGAGCTGGGTAACTGAATTTGGAGAGTTCAGGGAAACCTCATTCTCAACACTACTGGAGACACAATTAGACGCTAATGGGGCAGAGTCACCCTCCTTGCGTGAACCTGAGAATTGTTACTTCTCAAGAGGAAATACCTACCCTGCCCTGCATTCATTCTCCTGCCTTTGACTACTTATTCTGGGAGCCCAGGAGACAGTGATTAAATGACCATCCCTCAGCAGAATTCACCTCCCATGCATGGAGAGGGAGGTCTGCCTAGCTAAAGAAATATAGACAGAATTAAGTTCTAGCCAGTGAGGCCAGCTAGGAAGAGATCTGAAAATCCAGTACTGCATAACCCACTTGTTAAAAATGAAATCTGAGCTACAGACCAAGGCCGGACAGGGGCAGACCTTGACTAACAGCAGTTACCCTGAAGACCCAAGAAGAGAGAACAGAGAAAGCTCACTGGAGACACACGAAATCCAGATTCCGCCACCCAGACACAACCCGCCTAGGGCCAACAGAGCTCGCGAGCATCACACGCAGAGCAGTCACCTGGAAAATTAAACCTGCTGTCCCGCTGGGCCATCGGGGACGGGTTCGGGGGTGTCGTCGCGCTGGGGGGGTTGGAGGACTGGAAGGGCGCTGGGGAGGATGGCGTGGAGGAGGTGGTGGAGGATGGGTTACTGCTGGAGTCAAGGTGGTTCACGGCCGGAGGGTGCTCCTGCAAGAGAAGAGGGATTAGACATGGACGCCCCCACCACGTGAGAGACCCAACTGTGGCCTGCTTGGTCACCCACAGATCCCCCCATCTGGAAGAGGCTGTCTTGTCCACGGTGCCACAAAGCTGCCCAGATCTCTACACTCTCTCTACTTCTAGAACCTATGAGTGACTGAAGAGTGCCCACCTGGACTGTAGGGACTACACGTTCTGGGAGTCCAGATAAAGAGGTGGAATTATACGGGGTAGCTAGGTGGCCACCTAGCTGCCGCAGTGAACAGAACTCCAGCCCTGAAGTCATGAGGACCTGAGTTCAAATCTGATCTCAGATACTTGACACTTACTAGCTATGTAACCCTGGGCAAGTCACTTAACCCTGATTGCCTCACCAAAAAGCAAAAAACAACAACAGTGGGATTTGGACAAGCTCTGTGTGTGTGTGTGTGTGTGTGTGTGTGTGTGTGTGTGTGTGTGTGTGAGAATTGTTACTTCTCAAGAGGAAATACCTACCCTGCCCTGCATTCATTCTCCTGCCCTTGACTACTTATTCTGGGAGCCCACAAGATAGTGATTAAATGACCATCCCTCAGCAGAATCCATGGTTGTTGTTCTTGGTCTTTGAGTAGGGCTGAGATGGGATGAAAAATGCCCATGCAAAGGGTGGAGGGAGAAAGTGGAGGCAGGAAGCCATGGAAGAGGCTGCTGTGCGTGGTCATTTTGGGTACACCCTCCAGCTTCCATCAGCTGTCTTTGGCCCCTACTCAGCTGACTGAGCCTCAGCACACTGCGCCCGGAGCAGGCGATGTGGTCACTGCAGCCTTTCCTCCTCCATCTGTATGCACTGACACACAAGCACCGCTGGGGGGTGATGAGGAGACACCGCCAGGCTCAAGTAGCGGGGGAGCCGAGGGCCCACAAAGCCAGCGGGGTGGGATGACATCGCAGGATATTAAAAAAGACACACGTGCCACATCCAGGGTGCAGAGAAGAGCACCTGGCCAGAGACCAACCCCAGGGAAGAGGCCCCTAGTGCAAGGGTCATTTCTTGGACCATGCCAGAACTCATGTATTTGAAGGACATTCTCCACGTCAGCTGGCTTGCTAAGAACAGTGAAGCGCGGCTCTGGCCAACTGAATAACTTTGCTAATTTGGGTCAACTGCAAAGAAGACAAGCCTGAATTAGCAGAATTATAAACTTATGATGTTGTTACAGGGGTTAAAAAATCACGGCCCCAGGGCCAAATCCACACCGCTGTCTGCTTTTGTTGGCCCCTGAGGTGAGAAGATTTTTATATTTTACAGAACACTTATCAGTTTAAGACTTACAAAGCATTTCACTGACACTTCAGGGCGGCTGGATAATGCGGTAGATTGGCTTTGGAGTTAAGAAGACCTGAGTTCAAATCCCACCTCAGGCTCTTCCTAGCTGTGTAACCCTGGGCAAGTCACTTAACTTCTCTTTACTTGAGTTTCCTCTTTTGTAAAAGGGAGACAATAACAGCACCTACATCCCAGCGTTGTTGTGAGAATAAAATGAGCTAATGTTTGTAAAGGTCTCTGCAAACGTTAAAGCGCTATATAAATGCTAGTTATCATTGCTGTTGTTACAGTTACTATTTTTATTTTATGTTCTCATAACTATTATCAGTATTACATCCTCTCTTTAAAGTAGGTGCTATTATCAGTCTCATTTTACAGATGAGGAACTGAGGCTGAGCGGTTAAGTGACTTGTCTAGGGTCACGAAATAGCACCTAAAGCAGGATTTGAACTCAGGTCTGCCTGACTCCACATCTAGGGCTCTATTCCACCCTTCCTCTAAACTGTCCTGTGTGCGTTATCTCTCCCTTCTAGAATGTGAGCGCCTTCACAGCAGGGTTTAGAGCAATCTTGCACCCACAACACTTAGCAGCACAGTGCTCAGCCCATGGCGAGATCTCAATGAATGCTTTTTCAATCATCTGTTTATTCCGTCAAGGACCAGACGGGGGGATGTGGCCAGACAGAGACAGGCTGAATCGATGGCCTGTGAGGTCCCTTCTGTCTCTGAGACCTTGTGATTTAGATTTCCTCTAAATAATATATGTTCATGTGTATTTGATCACTTCTAGAGTTTCCAAACGCTTGAAAGATTCAAATGCTCTTTTACTGTATTCAGACAGTATGCTAAAATCAACCCCCATTCCTCACTGAACCACGGAAGTGACTGCGGCTTTTCAAAGGTCGTACAATGTTCTACCAAGCTGGGAATTCTGACTGTTGTCATTCAGTCCCTTTCAGTCATGTCTGACTCTTCGTGACCCCATCTGAGGTTTTCGTGGCAGAGATACTGGAGGGGTTTGGCATTTCCTTCTCCAGCCCATTTTTACAGATGAGAAAACTGAGGCAAACAGGGTTAAGTGACTTGTCCAGGGTCACACAACTAGTAAGTGTCTGAGGCCAGATTTGAACTCAGAGAGTTGAGTATCCCTGTCTCCAGACCTGGCATTCTATCCACCTAGCCACCTGCTGCTGCCCACTGGGGCCTACAAACGGTCAGCATACCCATCATCTGCAGACTGTCCTCGCTAGGTGCAAAGACACTTATCCCTCCGCGGACCGTCCACTAGGTAATAGGTTTTTTTGGGCCACAACACCTCTCAAGGTACAGTTACTAAGGCACGAAGGGGTTATGACGTGTGTTGGGGCAAAGCATAGCTAAACCCACAAAACTCCAAATCTTTGGTGTACTTAAGTCTAAGTGCGCACAGCAATGGCGGATACGGCTTAGCTCACTGAAGGTCTGATTAGACCTGCTTTAATGAGCAAGAATCATTCGTAATCTGGGCATTTTATGCAAATGTGGTTTCACCAAGTCATTTCAAAATGGCCCGGCCACTAGTATAAAACCAAGCTGCTCTGGACCACTCCTACTGGGACCCAGAATTCTAGTCTGGACGAGGGTGGGGGCTCGGGGGTATACGTCCATACGTGGTGTCTGGGCTGTAACTTCTCATGCTCTACACAATCAGGGCCACTCTCACTCACCTTCTTCGTCAGTGCTTTCGGGAGGGTTCCAAAATGGGGCTCCGTCGGTCTGTCCACTGGGTTGTTGATGTCTGAAGGCACAGATTCTGTCCTCCGTAGTTTAGATACTGGGGAGAAAAATCGGGGTGGGCCAGAGTCTCAGTGAAAAGACTTAACCTAGCCTGGCAAAGCGGACAAGCCAAAAGCCGAGATACTCACGCGGCAGGAATGAGATTCTACAAAGAGGGACTTCTTTCGTGCACTTGTTGTGACACTTAAGCCTGCAGGGGAAAGAGAGCCGCGGGTGGGTCAGGGCTCATCTGTTGGGGGTTTACTTTTAACTTTCTTTTTGTTCTAAACTTAAACAACAAATAACACAAGCATTTCCACATACATAAAACAGAAGGGAAAAAAAGATTGTACATGAAACTGTAAGTCTCCATTTGTACAATTTTTTTTCTTTTTGAATATGAGCTTATTTCAACATTGAACTTTCAAAGCTGTCCCAATTGTCCACAATTCTTTCTGCTCTTCCTTCTCTTCTGCTCAGTGCATTAAAAAAAATGCTTCAATGGCTTCTTTTCCTTCCTCCTCCTCTTCTCTTCCTTCTTTCTTCCTCCCTTCCTTTTTTCCTTCCTTCTATTCTTTCTCTCCTTCCCTTCCTTTCTTCCATTTTCACTCTTCTCTTCCTTCCTTCCTTTTCCCCTCTCTTCTTTCTTCCCTTCCTTATTTTTCCTCCCTTGTCTTCCTTCCTCCCTTCCTTATTTCTCCTTCTCTCTCTTCCTTCCTCCCTCTTTTTTTCTCTCCTTTCCTTTCCTTCTTTCTTCCTTTCTTTTTTCCTCTCTTCTTTTCCTTCCTGCTTTCCTTCTTCACTTTTTTGTCTCCCTCCCTTCCTTTCTTTCTTCCTCCCCTCTTTTTTCCTCCCTTCTTTTCCTTCCTTCTTTCTTCCTCCCTTTCTTCTTTCTACTTTCTTTCTCTTCCTTCCTTCCTCCCTCCCTCCTTTTCTTCCTCCCTCCCTCTTCCTCACTTGAAGATACAAAGAAGAAAAAAAATTCTAAGGGCTCTTTCAAAGCACCAGTCTTCCTGATTCTCTCCTGAGGGTCACATGGGGATGTCTGAAACACTTAGCAGGGTCATAGGCGGTCCTGCCAATGACTCAGCTAGGACTGGAGAGCAGTTTCTTAGGGTTTTTCTCCCATATGCATGGACCCCCAAATATCAATGTTCCCAAGGGGTGAGCCTCCTGTTTTCCTTTCCCTTATTCCTGTGCCTTCGTTAAAGGCTAGCCATCCCTTCCCTTCCCCACCCTCCCTGCCGCACTCTCTTAGACCCCACTTTTGTGCTCAATTAGAACTAATAAAACAGACAAATTAGAGGATGAGTGTACTGCAAAGGGATCCGAGGGGTTCCTTTAAACTGGACGAGAGGGGGTGCTAATGGGATAAATCAGAGACAGCCATACTACAGCAGGACCGAGTAGGTAAATGGGCCTCAAAGGTACCCAAGGACTTGTTAAGTATTTGAAACAGAGCCTAGGTGTGGTGAGGAGGAAAAGCTGATGGAAAAACATGAAGGGGAAATAACTGGGAGCCACCGACAATTAAGGATCGATTCAGAGGGCCCAAAGAATCTTGGAAAGTGTAATGGAAATCACAGAGAAAAAAATTAGAATTAAAGGAGACCTCAGACGCCAGCTGGCCCAAACCCCTCATTCTGCAGACAGGGAAACTGAGCCCAGAAAGGTTGAATGACTTGCCTAGGGTCACACAGGGAACAGACAGCAGAGGTAGGATTCTAAAGCAGGTCTTCTTATTCCAATTTTATTAACAGATAATTTTCAGGGACACATGGTTCTTAAGAATAATAGTTGTTAATTATTAGTTAGTAATAATAACCCTTAATAATAATAATAGTTATTAATAATAATACCTAACTTTTCTGGAATACTTATTATTGTTATCAGGGATGGGGCCTGGACCTATGATTTCACTAGTTTAAGGAACACCTGAGTAAGGAAATTTCTTCTACCAATGCAGGTCAGCGTCTTCTCTACAAATGATAAGTCTTAGAGTAGCCTGGAGATCTAAGAAGATAAGTGACTTGCCCAGGGTCATATAGCCTTTTCAGCAGTGGGGTTTGACCCTAGTCTTCCTGGCTTTCAGGCCAAATCTAGCTGCTATGTGGGGCAGCTAGATGGCGCCATAGTGTACAGAGTGATGGGCCTGGAGTTAGAAGATTCATCTTCCTGAGTTCAAATCCAGCCTCAGACGCTTACTAGCTGTGTGACCCTGGGCAAGTCACTTAGCCCTGTTTACCTCAGTTTCCTCATCTGTAAAATGAGCTGGTGAGGAAAATGGCAAACCACTCCACGAAAACTCTGCCAAGAAAGCCTCAAATGGGATCAGGAAGAGTCACACAGGACTGAAACAACTCAACAACCATAACAAATCTGCTATGCCACACCGCCTCTCATTATTATTACTTATGATATTGATGAGATAGTTCTTCAGAGGAAGAGGAAGGAGAGGGGAAAAATGAGAATAATATGAATAAGTCTTCCCCTCTGAGCCTCCGGCCCCCATCAACACACACCCTGGGGCCAATTCTGACCCCAGCTCCATCCAGTCCTCACCTGCAGTGTTTACACTTCACTCCAAATATCATGCTCTTCTGGCACACGTGACAGATTTGGGAGAGCCAGGACTTCGTTGAGAACCTGAACAGGATGAAATAACACATAGTTCCCCCGCCACGTGGTGAGGACCGAGCTAGGAAGCCCCTCCCTCCCCGCCAAACCCCAGGCAGGGAGACGAGGAGGAGCCCGGGGAGGGGGGACACCATGAACAATGAAAGACCCGAGGAGAGGAAGCTCCCAGGCTGTGTCCACAGAGCAAAGGCAAATCGGGGTGAAGCTGCAGTGGAGCCCTGATTCCTGGATAATTATTTGGCCCACAGATTCGAGAGCAGGAGTTGGAATCCCAGGAAGGTCTTCAGGACCAGAGAATCCAATTCTCTTCTTTTACAGAGGAGGGGACTGAGGGTCAGAGAGGAGACAGCTTGCTCAATAGAAAGGAGGTTTCCCATCCTCCAGTCCAGTGTTCTCTATCTCTGTTTCACCTGCCTGGGACCCAGGCTAGCAAACAAACAAACAAACAAACAAAAAATCCCTGCTGGGAATCTTGTCTGGTCTAACCTACACAGGGATTCAGAAGCCGAGAAGCTGGACAGAGGGAGACTGAGGCAACAGGATTTTCCCCATGGGGACTCACTAAGCACTCTGAGATCCCTCGTGAACTGCCCTCCTCCCCTCCATGTGACCAAGACCCTGCGGGAAGGAGGAGGCTTGGGTGACCACAGCCCACTTTTCTCAGAACATGCTCCGCTGTGGCTGGGCTTACCTGTGGGTCACCGAGAGGCCGATGTCTCTTCGTACCGTCTGTGGAGATCCATGGGAGAGATCTGATGGCAAAGAATGGGGTTTGGACAAGGTGAGGGGTGCCTTCCTCTCTTTGGGTGCATCCCATGCCAGAAACCAACCTAAGACCAGGAAGGGAGGTGGGAAGAAGAGAAAAACCGGCCATCCTCTCTTCTTTCTAGGAGGGTCTCCAGCTAAGCTTCCAGATTCCTCCTGATGACATCACATCGAAGCTGCTTCCAACTCCCCCTCCCCTCCCTTGTTCTCCTTTATTGGAGCTGCCATGACATCATGGTGTCTTGAGATACTGTGAACTCAATCACCATTGAAATTCCAGAAATCTTAACATGGAAAGTCTCAAAACCAAAAGGAATCACAGATCTCAAGTTAGGGTTGTATGTATGACACAGTCACATGTTTAGGATCATAGATTTAGACCTGAAAGAGACCTCAGAAGCCAACTCCCCCATTTTACAGATGAGGAAACTGAGGCCCAGAGAGGCAAAGCAACCAAGCTCACACAGGGAGTAAATGGCAGAACTGGAACCCGAATCCCAGGTTAAAGCTTCAAAGAAAGAGACAGAGCCGGAAGGGGCCATAGAGACACTCATTTTACAGATGAGAAAACTGAGGCCCAAAGGGTAGCGACTTGCCCAAGGTCAAACAGGTAGTAGGTGGCAAAGGTATGATATGAACCTAGGTGTTAAGTTCAAATCCAATCTCTTTATGCCTTAAGTGGGACAGGGCACGTCCCTCTAGCTAGCTAGTTCCAAACCACATTTCCAGCCATCCACTCCGGCCATTTTCTTGCCATCTGCCCCTACCACCTCCATGTATACCCTGTCTTTCCCCTCCCTTCTTCTGTGCTTGGATATTGTGATCAAATTAAGCCTGTCATTTCTTCTGGAAAGAGCAAGGTGATTCCTCCTGGGATCCACTCCCCAGTCCCATGACTTTCCAAAACAAGATATACTTTCCTGGCTACCACTCCCCCATATGTACTGTCTCCGATTAAAACGTAAACTCCTTAGGGTCAGGGAATGTCTTGCTTTTGTATTTTTATCTTCTATGGTTATCAGAGTGCCTGGCATATATAGGAATCCCTTAGTGATTTCACTAATGGCGATGAGATTTCACCATCACAAATTTAGAGCAGGATGGGTCCTTAGTGGCCAGAGTCCAACCTCCTCAATTTACAAATGGGGAAACTGAGATTCAGAGGTTAAGTGACTTGCCCAGGATCACACAGGTAGGAAGTGTCTAAGGCAGGATTCAAACTCAAGTCTTCCTCACTCTAAGGCCAGCACAGGGCTAATCTAGCCATCTCTAACTCCAAATCCAGGGCCCCTTCCTCCAAGCCAAGGTGCTTCCTCCCATGATTCCTTCCTGAGGATGCTTCCTGGGGAACGAGCAAGGGTGGGAAATGGCCACTTATTCTTAATCCAGTTTAGAAGGGATTTGGAGTTTGACCTGCTCAGAGAAGGGGAGCTCTCTCACCAAGCCTCGTAGACCAGCAAATACTATTCCTCATTGCGTATCAGCTCTGTAGTATAAGACTGGAGAAGCCCACAGCTGATTCAGGCATGAACCCCCAACACCAGTGGGAGGAAGGGGCGCCTACAAAGGGATGGTTTATCAGGGCACAGAGACGCCAGACAAGGCCAGACAGTGAAACAATCAGGTAGGGTTTGTTCAGCCCATCCAGGGCTTAGCACAGTGCTCAGTAAGTACACAGTTGGAGCTTAATAAATGCACAGTGTCTATCAGGGCTCAGAAATGCCAGACAAGGCCAGATAGTGAAAATCAGCTAAAGTTTGTTCAGCCCATCCAGGCCTTAGCACAGTGCTCAGTAAGTACACAGTTGGAGCTTAATAAATGCGCACTGTCTATCAGGGCTCAGAAATGCCAGACAAGGCCAGATAGTGAAAGAATCATTTAGGATTTGTTCATCTCAACCAAGTCTTAGCACAGTCACTGGTACTCAGCAGGGGCTTAATAAATGTTTACTGTCTGTCCTGTAAAGTCTGACTCAAAAGTATCACTACAGAAATTCCCTGGTACCTTCTCATCTCCTTTACTGAGGATAAAGAAATGCACAGCAAAAGCTATATCATTGGCCCTTTTGGTGGGGGGGGCAGGAAAAGGGACAGACACAGATCTATAATTGCATGGGTATTAAGAATTCTAAATTAGGAAATCAGGCCAGATCAGCCCCAGCTGACAGGAGTCAGCACTTGGCCTCAGAGCCTGGGAACGCAGAGAGTTTAAGAGACTTGCCCAGGGCCACATAGCCAGGATAAGTTTTAGCTGTAGGACTCGAACCCAGGTCTTCTTGACTCCAGCCTTTGCCATAACACTGCCTTTCCTGCTTACATTCCTGGAAATCGCCCAAAGCAAGCAGCATCCCTGAGTCCTCTCGAGCAAAGAGAAGAGTTTTGTTCTACGCTCCCCCTTCCACACCCCATCATCTCCCAAACTTTAAAACCCGAGCATTCTGGAAATGGAAAAGAAAGAAACACACAGTGCAACAGGAAGTGGGCTGGATTTGGAGTCAGAAGGCCTGGGTTTGAATCCCGGCTCTGCCTCCTTCTATCTGGGTAAGCCTCGGACAAGTCACTCCTTTCTGTTTGCCGCATCAGTACACCGAAGGGTTTGGACCAGACAGCCCCTGGAGAGCCAAGAGAGAAGTTACCATATCCCCGGCCTTCCAAAAGGCAGCGGGGTGCAGTGGGAAGAGCAAAACCCGCCTACAAGTCACATGACCTCGGGGCATCTGCCTCCTGGTCAGTAAAACTCAGGGTTGGCCTCTGAGGTCCCTTCCGGGTCTAGATCACGGTTCATAGGTTCTCTACG